AAAGATCATGTGGATGGTCCACTTAATTTATCTCGCCATAGTCCGATGTCAACCCACCTACTGGGTTTCATTATCCACATTCTACCAGAGGGCCTACCATAATTAGTTGCCAGTAATAAATTTAAGGACTTCCTAGTAAAACATCTACAAAATCAATAAAAACTGAATTTTGATCTATGTCTCATTGAAGGTTGGTAACTGGTTTGACAAGACTTTTAAAGCATTTAATTGAATTATGAGGGGGTTTACATACTCTATATTTTCTTACACATAGAAATCCCTACCTTTACAAAGTTAGCTAGTAATTGTATGGTAATACATTAAGGACAGTACTGTACACATAAATTTAAAGGGTCAAAATTCCTCAGTGAATATAGATTCCACTTTATTTTGATTCTGGTGTATCAGGAATTTGAGTACTTTAACTAATACTAATAGATAATAACAACAATAGTAATAATAATAAAATAATAATAATAATAATAATAATAATAATAATAATAGTCCTTCTACGAATAATAATAATTCTTTGTTTATTACATACTCGACCTACCTATGCACAGAAAAATCCCATTATAACAAATATCTATACATAGCTAAGAAAACGATGTCATAAGCTAACGTCCTTAAAATGAGACATTAATCAGTCGTAAGAGACAATGTCAATGGACACATGTTAGTGGCCAAAAACATTACACAGGTGTTTTTTGTAGATTGTATCATCAATACAAATTCAGATATAATTGAAACGTTTCTCTCATCATAACCATCTCAGTTTGGCACCATTAAGACAAGAGATCTATTCACTATGTTTCATTCCCCAAAAATCCTCCCAGAGACCTCGGGGCAAATGTCATTTAAACCTTTAGATACTACAGTAATCGTTGCAGTCAGTGAAACAGAAACAATTGCACCGGTAAAGTTTGAGACGCACAATGGTAGCTCTGTAACACTTCCCTTAAGGCTTAGGGCAGATTTAAGCACTCAGATAAATATCAGCAAAGTTTCAACTTAGTTTTGCCATGTGAAATCACGTACTGTCATAAAAAAGATGGAAAATGCACATGGAAAAAAGAGTGGTCTGTATTATATAAGACCTAATAGTAGAATATATTCTTGATTTAATCAACATCAAAACATTGCAGGGACGTAGCCAGGATTTTGAAAGGGGGGGGGGAGCCGTTATGCGAGTTACGTAGGACCCCAGCGGGGTCAAAGTGGGGGAAAATCCCCCTCTGAATGATCTTAGGACTGTTTGAAAGGATAAAGTGAAAATTGCAATAGACGCATTATAAATAAGCGCAAAATAATTATATAATAAATCAACAGTGGCAGATCCAGGAATTCGAAAGAGAGGTATTTAAACCAGATAGGAGGGACATTCACAGACCGAGGAACCACTCTCCTCAGCCCCACTATGGTTGGGGCTGAGGTAAGAAAATTTATGATACGCCATTACGAAGGCTTAGAGCAAAAGTTATTTAAATTAATTGATACAAGAGAAAAAAAAGATGTACATAGAGAATGTTAACGAATGTATAGGCATGTGAATTATTTATTGGAAATCGTCAATATATATAATTTATTAAAAAGTGAACTAAAATATTCAAAATTGAAAAAGCAAATTAAAAGCATGAATAAAATTGATTGTTATACAACATTGTAGAATTATTTTTAAAATAATAGTGTTCTTTTGACATTAAAAAATATTTTTGAATAAAATCCACAGATTTATAAAGCCTAAAGGCCTGGTTACACTATGGCGATAACGATCAATGATAAGAAGCTAAAATCAATTGTTGATATAGAAAATCAAAGAAATAAGAGAAGTTTTCACACTAGCACGATTCAATAACGATTTATCGTGTATACCTGTCTCTTATACACATCTAGATGTTCAGCCCCACCATGGATGGAGCTGAGGTGAGAAAATTTGAAGAAATAGTACCTCTCAAGATGTCCGGAAATGACACTTTTATATAGTAAAATTCATCATCATCACATCACCATATTGTCAAAATGAAACGCCAACAAATTTCTCATGATCTTTTATCATGGAATTACTTAATATCCAGGACAACTTAGGCCTAACTATAGTTTACTAAGCTTTTTATGCTATATTATGATCAACAAATCACAACTTTTTTTTCGCATTTAGCACAATTTTCTTCACTTTTTATTGCTATTAATATTATTATAAATTATTACTATCGTCATCATCATCATCATCATTGTTATTATTACTAGGCCTATTAGTCGTAGTATTATTAAACAAAAATTTAAAGAAACTTGGAAAAGGATAAAAACGAAATTGAACCACAGTATCGCATTTCTATCTTAAAAGATCTGGCCTGAGAATTAGGGATTTAAGATTTTTTAAAATCACGCTTAGGCCTATGTGTTCTATTAGGCCTGTATAACGTGTACTGATGCATATTTACATGTTTTAGAAGTATTCATTTTGAGTGATCCTAGGAAAGAATTTGTATTGGCTCAAGAATAAGCTTTAAAATTTTAACACTGTGTACAAAGGGGGGAAGCCGCGGCTCCCACGGCTCCCCCCTTGGATATTGGATACGTCCCTGAAACATTGTAGAACTTTACAAAATCAAATTGTGTTTAATTGATGTTAGTTTTGTTAAATAGAGCATTAATAATTTTGGAACAGATTTCTAAATTTGGTTTTTGACTACTCAAAAATATGGTTTGTTGCTTATCATTGAATGGTTTATAATCACTTTTATATCATGGAATATTATACAGATATTGCCTGCTTAGAGGTGTAATATAACATCTGATATTTAACATCTGATATCTCAGGACCATATTTTCCCTCAGCGCTACGCGCTTCGGGAAAATATAATCCTTCGAAAAAAATATAATTCCCTCGGGGATATCAAATGTTATTATTATACCGATAGAAAGGCAATACCTGTTATATTACATAGCCAAAAATAGATGCAAATGAAATAATTAACTGAACACATTACTTTAAATATCAAGAACTTTTATTTAACTTTTACACAATATCTGTCATATTACATAACCAAAATACGTCATATTACCGTCACTTTTAAAAATGTTTCTGTTGTAGTCAATAGCGTAGCATTATCATTGATCGTTTAGCCTACAATTCACCGTTTGCTCTCCTTACCTCAACGTAAAATGACCGGAGAAAGGTAACTCGTTGAACTCCGTTACTGTGAAATTTTCAATGCAAGTAGGCTAGGCCTAGGCCTAATTTGATGATTCCTCGTCCTTACAATATTCACTGAGTGGGAATACATTAACGGATGAATTCACAACAAATTTTGTACACCGAGAATCCTTTTCGTCAATAATTCTATCCAATTCGTCTTCGTCGAGAGATTTAAACTTATTTGAAGTCACCATTTTCGTAGCGCTAGGCTTTCCACATTCACAATTCTTGACCGATCAATCATGCGCTCGACTAGCATTCTACGGGCGCAATGCGGGTGTAATCCGGTGACGTCAGAGACCGGTCACTTTTCAAAGTTATATTTCCCTACGGGGAAATATAACGTTTCCGATCCTCATAGCGCTAGTCACGTGATGCAATTTCGACCAATCACATACTCGTATTTACATAGGCTATGTAAAATAGTACCGTATTAGTGAATGTGGAGTAAGGAAGAAGAAATGATAGACACATGAAATTGCAATGATGTAATAAGTGTATGCTGGATGTTAGGCCAAGTAAAATAAAAAGTAGTTTCTCGTCTTAATATTTGAAAAAAGGAGAATGATGGCATTTTTCTTGTTATTTCAAGATGGCAAATCGAAGGTGGTCGAAGGGAAAGAGACAAATTCTTTCTCACTTTTACCAAGTAGACACATTGAAAGCAAACAAAAGAAGCACTAGTCATCATTCATACCATATGTATCCCCAACTATGAACGACCGAGAGATGAACTTTACGGAGTTAGCCAGATTTTCGTACATTTCGTAAAATAAAGAAAAAATATATAAAAAAAGTTAAAAAATATAATTGGTGAGGCAGAGAAAATGGATGCATTTTCCTATTTATTCTGATACCATGGATGTATAAACTCCACATGATTGATACACATGATTATAAATAAAAGTTAATGCCATAGTACAGTATTTCCCAACTCCAGTATAAGCCCATACTCAATCCCAGCCCCTAGTTATAGCCCGGCTCTTAGGACTCCTGTTTAAATTGCATGAGAATTGAGATAAATCATGCTGTTGATTTGTACATGTCATAGAAAAGAGCGCTTTTCCCACATTTCAAGGCCTAGAGGAACAGAGCCGGGCAATTCTGGCGATGAAAAAAACCACAATGAACAAATTGTTTTCACTGTAATGCAAAACTCTTATTTTTTTGTATCTCTGCCAAAACTTATAATACATGTAAGTAAATTTGTCAGTATTAAAATTTAACTTAACCTGCCAAATGTTAAGTTGAGATTACTAAACATTAAGCAGAACAATGACGCTACTCAGTCCTGAGGTAAAACCCTCTATTGAACCTAACACCATACCACCCATGGTATCATCGCAGCTATTATCTGCCCCAGCACTACAAAGAGTACTTCCTTCTTTATAAAATATTAATAAGAATGAAAATAAAATACTTAAATATTTTCATTTTATGACCTTGTCGAAAAAACCGGATTAAAATATATTATTTTATAGTTACAACAAAAAAAAAAAAATATTAGTTTGTTGAATTTTAAATATGTGTATGTTGATGAAATGTAGAGGCCAAATTTGACATCAAAGAACCTAATTAAATCCTCATGTGACCTAGAGTACGGATTGCTACCAGTTCTGATTGGATAAAAGTCACTGTACACCTGATTGATTGACTGATGGGGAAATGGGTGGAGCCAAAGATACAATCACTTTGGCCAGAAAAAAACCAAAGTGGAATAGAAAGTTTGTCATCACATCTAATTAGCTAATTTGTGAGGAGAAAGCAAATATATTCAAGGGCAATTTGATTGGTTTTGATACCCTTGGGTGGGGCTAGTGCAGGCTATAAAAGTCAGTGTTTCTTCTTGGTTTGCCATTCATGAACCTTTGCCTCATCTGATCTTACTGGTACTATCAACCAATTGCAAGTTACCTGCTCCGCAGATTACAGTACTGTATCACACCTGTTACTCAGGTAAGAGAAATATTTTTCAAGTTTATATGTTACAAATAATTTATCATTATTCAAAATTAGATTTTAACTATTAAGTTGTGGCAGGCAGTATGGGTTTAGGCTTTAAACCGAACCCAATGCTAATAACGTCCTTGATAAATGTTGCATCTTCTCATCCAAAAATATAAAGGTACAGTACTGTGCAATACTTGGTAGATCAAGTTTAGGCCATGTAAAAATAAAAAATTGGTTAGCATCCTTATGTTATCAATTTTCATGGTAAGGAGGGAGGTTTTATTTTTTTCCCTTGCGTCGAACATGAAAAACAGTGTGGTAAGGAAAAAATAGCAAAACAAAGAAGAAAACAACAGCGACCAAAATTGAATGTAATTCATCTATAGCAAGCAGAGACTTTACCTATGACAGTCATAATGCAATTATCTATAATCACATAATTCACTCCAATCACAGGCATCATGAATGCCATGTGGCTACAGCATAGAACAGCTAGCGTGCGGATGGGTGGTAAACAAACCTTTATTAACTGGAGTTTGTGAGTGTTCAAAAAGAAAAAGAAAAAAAAAAAATCGGGTTGGGTGGCCTCTCTGATGGTAGGGAGGGGATACTAACTAATTATTTTAGTTTACATAGCCTTATTGAATGAAACTTGCCTGATAAGGAATACTTCCTTGGGAGGGGATAAAGTTTGAATGTCAGTACATGACTATTACTGTATGTTTGGTAGGACATCTACTAATTGGAAACCATGTGATGTGATTTGAACTTTGTGCTACATTAAGGGCTGTTTATACTTATAATGTTAACGATAAAATGCTACAAAGCAATTGTTCATATAGAAAATGAAAAAAATAAGAGAAATTTTCACACTAGCACGATTCAATAACGATTTATCGTGTATACGATAAAAAAATATTTTCATAAATCAAATTAAATGATGTCATAATCATGGGAAAACAATAAAATTGTAGTAAAAAAACCGATTTTATGATTTTCCCATGATTATGACGTCATTTTATTTGATTTGTGAAAATGTTTTTTTATCGTATACACAATACATCATTATCGAATCATGCTAGTGTGAAAATTTCTCTTATTTCCTTTATTTTCTATACCACAAGGTAGGGGGCGCTCTATTGATAATCGAATAGCATTCGGAACTCAAACAAAATTGCGTTCGAAACTCGTACACGCGTTACAGAGACGCAGCACGCATTCGCCACGAACGCCTTTTACAGTTATTTGAAGGATGCCCTCTAGAACATGGTAGTACTCTTCGTGATCAACGACATAACGTGGTAACTCCCAAAGTTACTCATTTTTAAAGTGTTTTAGAGTAATATAGTAGTAGGTCTAAACAGAATATTATGATGAAAGAAAAAATTTTCATGAAAAATCCAGATACACTACAATAATACACACATCTGCATATTGAAGAACGTAAGATTTAATTAAAAAAAAAAAACTCCTGTATAAGGCAGTAGACACACGCTCCTGCTGGGAGCCTATAATTGAGGTAGTACCACTGGTTGCAAAGACAACCAACTAGTTGACCTTTAATACCATATTCTTACACATGGCGTACCAAAAGTTTAATAATTATTTTTCTTCATTAATAAAAAAAAAAAAAATTAAATTCCATCAAAATCTGACTACATAGGTGATTTGGCAAATTACAGTATGTATCCATATGTATCAATAGCCATTAATGCTTTCAAATATATGTGTTATTTATTTATAGTTTTTTTTTATGAAGTAGGGACTGATACATTTTAAAAAGATAAGGGTACAAAAAGATCTGTGATTCTGAAAAAAGTCTATTAATTTTTTATAGGGCCTTAGGACCACCAATTAGCAGTTTCCTCCAAGCCCTAGAGACTAATGTGAACAACATGCAAATCTAGGAAGCCGTTGTGAAATGAATGGATTACTGATTGACAAAATCCAAACAGCTAATTTATCCGCTTTATCAGCATTTTCCCTAAGCCACTACATAGTTTATTAGTGTTTATTTGGGGATTTTACATTGCCCTCACAAATATTATTATTTATGTTGTTTGGATGATGATTGTAGGCCAAATATTTGCAGCACTATCACACTTGCTGAAAGCTTAAAGCAGTGCTTGAGTATATTATGCATTTAATATATTAATTAACACCTCTTTGCTTATTGGGTATAATTTCCCAAGAGAAAGAGAGTCTGATTTTTAATTAGGGACAACAATCAATGGGTCATGTCAGTTCAGTTGTATGAGGTCAGCTATTTACTGACCCGAAGCTTCAAAACAATAAAAACTCTATCTGCTTTATGAGAATTCTAATTTAACGTAAAAAATCTAGATTAAGCCCTAATTGCATTATGATTAGTGAAAATAAGAAGTACTGTACATTCTGCAAGATGATATGTTGATCAGCACTTCAAAAACATGCACATAGAGGGCGCTAATATAATATGGATTCCAAAAATGCTTTAGACTTGACTCTAGTGAAGTAGCAATATATCCCCAGGTACCTTGTGAAAGTAAAAGCAGATTTATTTCTAGTTGGGTACTCTTTACTCCAGATTTATCAACTTGGAAAAAACTATAAATAGTTTAACTACAGTTATCTAAAAATTTCTGTATGGAAATTATTTTTATAGCAAATGCATGTATATAAATTTAGCATGTACCATTTTAGTGATTATTTCATTTTATGTTTTTTAAATATTTTAACATTGTGTAACCATTAATGCAATTATGTGTTCAGTGTCTGAGTAAAAAATGTATATTTCAATAAATTAATTTAATTTAAAAATTAAAATGTATAAATTTTAAATGTATTTGTCTAATCTTACTATTATAAATCATATAGGCCTATACATTGTTTGATTATTCTTAATATATTTTGACGCTTTTACAAGTTATGGTGTCTTGTTCTTTTTATACATATTTAAACTTCTTAACTATTTCATATAATTTTTATTCATTTTACTTTTTTTATATGACATGACTAAATGAATTTCCTCCTGGGATAAAAGTACTTTTGAATATCATTATTATTTTACATATTATTATAGCAAATAACCACAAAACATTTATAGCAATTTAAATTTTTATGCTACTGTAGCTTAATAGAGATGTGTATAAGAGACAGGTAGTAGCCGATCGAATGCGCCGGCCGCCGGCTCTTAAATAAACCCCTGTTTCATTTTATGTTTTTTAAATATTTTAACATTGTGTAACCATTAATGCAATTATGTGTTCAGTGTCTGAGTAAAAAATGTATATTTCAATAAATTAAATAAATTAATTTAATTTAAAAATTAAAATGTATAAATGTTAAATGTATTTGTCTAATCTTACTATTATAAATCATATAGGCCTATACATTGTTTGATTATTCTTAATATATTTTGATGCTTTTACAAGTTATGGTGTCTTGTTCTTTTTATACATATTTAAACTTCTTAACTATTTCATATAATTTTTATTCATTTTACTTTTTTTATATGACATGACTAAATGAATTTCCTCCTGGGATAAAAGTACTTTTGAATATCATTATTATTTTACATATTATTATAGCAAATAACCACAAAACATTTATAGCAATTTAAATAATCAGGATGCTGAGTATTTTACAAATTTTATTGTTTTTACAATGACACACTGGTACGGGCCAACAAAAAGGAAATTGTTGTTTTGTCCAACTACAGAAACATTTAATAGAAATTGTCTAAGTTCAGGCCTAGGTAATGGTAGGGTCCAGTGCCAAAAATCACTCACCCTAAGTTGGTAAAATGGTGACCACATGTGCTAAAAAATTCACGATAGGCTGCAATACAGTGGCCTTATAAAAACATCCAAAAAAATTGCCAAAACCAGATCCTAGATTTTGAAGATTCTGGGTTGGTTGAGCATCGGCAAACAGAATTTTTTACAAAATTCTTTCTTACTGTTAAGTGCTTTCAAGTATGAAATTGTTATGTTTAAAGGTATTAATAAATAAATTTTTATTTAATTATTCATTATTCCACAGATTTTTTAACATGAATACACTTTTGGTAACAGTCATGAGCTGCCTGCTCGTTATCGGACATTCCGTACCAGTTCCTACATTGGCTCCTTCTGAAGATTTATTTTTAGAAAATGCTGATGAAACAATTGCGATTGAACATGGAGTAGGTGATGAAATTTCACTTGAGGGCAATGAACCAGTGACCACGATACAGGTAGAAGAACTAGTCACAGTAATCATGGATGTAGAGGATGTCGAATTTGGCACGCAGAGTGCATCAATGCAGGAACCTGAGGAAATGCAATCAGAGGGAGATGCAGGCGCAGTCTCAGTGCTAGAGGATGGACTTCTTTCATTCATTCATTCTCATGGTATATTTATTTAACAATTTTCAAAATAAAATATTAATTGTAAATATTTTCACCTAAACTTGCCGCATACGGCATTATTTTAGTTAGGATAAATTAGAGACACAATAAAGGGAGAATAAAATACATCTAAAAAAGTCTAGAAAAGTATAATATTTAGGATTTCTGAATCACAAATGGGTATTTCTATGTTTCTTTTAAACAAGCAAATAGTGCACTGACTACATTTAAAAATGTGTGCAATACATTTTTTGCCTTAATTTGTCATATTGTGTAAGCTATATAATATGAAAAAAAAAATCTAAAAACACATATTAATAATTATTAGCATCATTCCTGCCAATAAGAATCAATTTAACTTTGTTCACATGTGATGCTACACATCTATGAAAAATATTGTTACTGTTTATTTATCTATGTAAACAAATGCTCAATAAATCTTTCCTAATAACATCTACAGTATCTACCTAACATCTGTGTCCTATGTTCTGTTGCTAGTCTATTGGCATCCAATTTTACCAGCAATTTCAGTTTTCTCCTCCTACTAATTCATAGCTTCCATAATTTTTATATGGTCACACAAGACAAGTTATCCTCTATGTGACTCTCCATAAGTCACCCTACTATTTTGATGAGGTACTAATAATGATTTTCTCTTTCCAAGTATCTGATCCAGAATTTCTGTCCTGTGCTACTTTCGAGCAGTTGTTTTTACTTCTACGTTTGTCTTCCCATCTGTCCATGTTACTTTTCTGCCAACCTACTTAAATGTTTCCAATCTCTTTGTTTATCTGCTGTTTGTTTTAGTTTCACTTGTGTTAATAGTGCTGTGCTCTGAACTACAGTTTTAATAATTTACTTTTTAATGGTAATGTATGTCAGTCTGTCGGTTCTCCCTGTTTCTCATCTTAGCTATTTCAACTCTTCATGTCTTCCTCACCTCAATCATCTTCTGATATAAAGCTTCCGCGATGACAGAAGGAATCTCTTAAAATTTCATCTACTTTCCTTGTCTTCAATTTTTTATATGACATAAAATGTGAAAATTTGGTTTTTGGGTTGACAGATGAAGGGGTAGTTGAAGAAGTTGTTACCATGACGGTGACAGAGACCGCACCAGAAGAAGAGGAAACGGAGGAAGTGATTGATGATACAATTCATATTGAGGCAGACGTTCACGTTGAAGGGGGTAACAATGGGGGTAAACTTAAAATTGAAGAAATTAGGATTGATCTGGTAAGAGAAGATGTTGATGCAGGTTCTGAATAAAAATTAAAAATCAAGACCACCTAATAAAACAACTTTGTCTATTTACCAAACCTTGCAAAAAGTCCATACTATTACAATTTATGTGACAAATAGTGTGAAATCCAATGTTGGCATCATGATGTAATATTACCATCATGATGTAATATTACCATATATGGGCAAATCACATGTCTTTGTTTCATAAAATTTGATAGATTTTTATGCTACTGTAGCTTAATAGTGTTTGTGGTAAAAATTGGAACAAACAAACAATATCACAAACATTATTATTTAAGTAAAACTTGAAGCCTAACTTAAAGAACTGGAACAAAACAATTTCCTAATACATATTTTCCAATAACACACAAAAAAATAATTAAGTTATGTTTATTCACAGATGTTCCTTCATCTGATACTGGAAAAACATTTTTTAAATTATAATATTCAATTGAATGAAAGCATAAATCCTACTTAAAATTAAGCAATTTGAATATAAAATTAAAATATTGGTTAGGTCAACAAAGACATTAAATTTTGTAGGTTCAAAACACCACTTAATGAATTATATAATTATGTTATGTATGGTAGTGTAAACTGTACTGTAGTTGTTCGAGGTCTCTAGGCATGCTAATAATATTTAATGTAAACCTACTTTTACTCTTAATACCAACTCTTGCCAACTTCAGTTCTAAGTGGAATTATTTGAGATATAAGAAATTAACAAAAAAAATGTGTTGTCAAAAAAGGTGTTTTCTATTAAATATTCATAAACTAATTAAATAAAAAAAAATAGAAAGCAAAAATAGTTAGAATGATATTAAATATAACATCAACAATTTATTTAATATTAATTTACTGTTTTTTCCCCCTACAAATTATGGGGAGATAAGACAAATCAGACTATTATTCAATTAAACTTAATATTTATTTGGCAACAAAAAATGAATTTAATATAACAAAATTAACATGGTTAAACCATTTTTACAATGAGCTGACAGGTCCAAAGAGATGTTCAGTCTTGAAATTAATTAATCAATCAAAGATTTTTAAAAATGCTAAACTTACACCTGAAAGAATTCATCTATTACATTCCTAATTGTACTAAAAGTACATTCAACTTAAAAATATGATTATAATGTGCTTCTACCTTGCCTATGTTATAATCTGTCAAGATAGAGGAGAGGAGGGAGGAGGAGACCCCTTCAGCATAGACAGATTTGCCCAGATTGAGTCATAAACAAAGGCTAGCCGCCTCTCTTTATGCATTAATAAGCCTCACTACTACAGTGCAAATTTGAGATTTAACTAAAAATGATGTCAAGTGTTATGTTTTAAGTAATGAATTGCTAGATCATAGTTTTGTATGTTATGCTGGATCATAAATTCATCTTAGCTGGATTATTGTATAGTTTATGTTGTGGGAGTGTTTTGAAGCATGGAATGTACATACTAAAATAAGGCATAATTGTGTATCTATGGACTGATTTCCATAAAAAATAATGATTGTAATTGTATGTTAGAATTGTTTGATTAAATGTTGGCTTCAATCTAAAGTTAAGCTATTTACATGTGGTTCAACGGAATTTGACAAATATACTACTAGGATCTCAGATATACTGCAGAAAGTTGTTAATCTTTATCGTAAAGGTTTATTTTGCTACTAAGCACTTGTTTACAAAAAAACCAACTTATTTTTAGCATTAATGGACAATGTATAGAGAACAACATTAAAGTGTTATACAGTAACTAATCCTACCAACAAGTGATAGAGGATAGCAAATCTATCACACTATCCAACACAGTATTTGCTTAACTGTTTGTCTTCTAAATAATTGCAATTTTTGTATTGTAGATTACATTCCAATAAAAGTTTTTGGAATTAATGATTTACTTGTGATTGGTTGTTAATAACTGTGTTAACATTAATCTTATCTACAGGCAAAGTATATCCTTTTCTCAGGGTTATTGTAGTTCTATTACCGACAAATCTTCGTAACACATTTATTTCAACAACAAACCAACAGCAATTACAATACACCACTCATAGGAGGGTATCATTTTAACAATAATAAAAGTTCCTTATGTGACAGTCTCATTCAGAACACAGATATGCCTAGATTATAAAGGTATATTTCTGCTACTTGCTTATCAATTACAACATAAAGACCTGAGGATGTTTGCATTTTTACCAGTCAGTGATGAAGCAATGTTGATCTATCTAATTTATCACTATTTTCTATTGACTGATAATAAATACTGCATACCATGAGTGTCATCAACGTACAAAGTGAAGTTGATAACTAATGAGGGAAGTTACTTACCGTGTGGATATAACGGGAATGGAACTCTGGAGCATCCTGTAGGAATGTTAAACCGGGATGAGTATCTACAACATCCTATTGGAAATGGAAGAATAATAGTCAAAAATCATTATACTTTTTACACTTTTGCTGACAACATAATCTTTACATGGAGGATAATAGTATTAAGGCCTAAAAAAGTAAATTGTTTGTTTGCCCATTAATGCTGAAAAATGTATATGTTTTTTTCTTATTTTTTTTTTCTCCTGTCACCAATGTTAACATATTAAATCGCAATGCTTGCAATTAAGCCTGTCTCACTATTTGTTTTTCAAAGGGTATTCATCACACTGAATAAAATAGCCCAATTTTTGCAATGAATTTAGGCTCAGAATGGCGATACCTTACATCAGAAACCAAATTTCAATAACTCTCATGCGCAAAATATAGAAAAATAAAGATCAATTTTTAAAATTTGTAAACAAAAAATAATTTTTTTTTTTTTTTTAATAAACGCCGCCCCTATTTTTTCTGTGAGCTAGGGGCGGCCGCTGGAGGGCAAACAAGCAATTTTTTAAAGCCTAATAACAGTGATTAAAATGAGGATGATGATTAAGATGATGTGCTTACTTGGATTAGTGGGTACCAGTCCTCAGATGATATATAATTGCACTTGGGTTTAGCTAAAAGCCGAAATAGCCTTGAAGCATCATCATGGCATTCAGAAGTGATTCTGTATCAATAGCAAACAAAATAACAAATAACAAAACATTAAATACTGTAGCTGTCTATGAGAAAATTAGAAATAACTTTCAAAATTGAAAAAGATGATGAAATCAAAGTAAATCCTAACTAATACATACAAATAAAACATATAAATTACCAGTAAAAATGTTAATTAAATATTAATTTAATATTATTTAATAGTCATTTAACAAGACCTACCAATATATCCAACCAACCACTAAATATATTTACAATTAAGATAAAATAGCCTGCTGAGCAATATCCTGAATTGAACCGAATTTGAATTATTTACAATTATCTTTAATTACCAAGGTAATGTGAAGAACTAACATGTTCATTGGAAAGCACTGTAAATTTCATATATATTTTAAGAAGCTTTATTCAACACTAAATTTGTCACCAACCTTCGCCACATATTTACAAACATTTCTTCCGTGATGGGCACATCATCTTTACCCCCTGCAGCTTGGAATAGGAGAGCTCTCCAGTACTTCGGACAACCGCATGCCTAAAAACAAACATAATAATCAATAAATTGTATTGGTGTTGCTCTGTACATGAAAACATAGCTTTAATATTACTTAAAGAGCAATTTCATCTAACTTTTATTAAGTGGGTCAGTTATAACCAATCAAATTAAGCTCTGCTTAAAAAAGTTAAGTTTAACTTCAGAAAAATTGTGCTTATTTTTCAGTTGAAAACAAGCAGATTCATATCAGTTAAAAGCTGGTAAAAAATGCCACACATCCAGCTCATTAATCTTATGTTGGTCGGATACAAACAAGCACATTTAGCTGAGCTTAAATGAGGGCTGCACATGATGGGCTTAGGCTCAGGTGAAGCTGGGCACATAAGAGTGAATGCAACCACATACAATATGGAACATTTTTAAAAATAGATTTTAACCAGGATGAGAAAATGTAAACAGGTGCCTTTGATGCTCTACTGTATAACTGGTATTAGAATGGGGTAGGGTTGTTTTGGAAGAGAAGTACTTGTACTTTCACTAAGAGCGAACCCAAGACTCTGGTATTCAAAGATAGGCTTTTTTTTTTTTCTTAAGTAAATTGAGTGGATTTAGAGCCTGACATCATGTCAATATAATTACCAAGGTTATCTCATCCATGTCCTGCTTTCTGGCAATTTGACTTGGTAATGACCTGAAAACCTCTGAAACCATTTCTAATGTTTTTTCATTGACCTCGGCGTCAACAGGTCGTCCATATGGAAAGTAAAATCGAGGAACATTTACTGGTTGGGAATTCTTTTCTGCAGCCTTCCGGTCTTCAAATAACTGTAATAAATCAAATGAAAAAAAATTGCACATTAATCAACATTAAGTAGAATTCACATAAAAAATAATTTATAGAAAAAGAGAATTGAATTAGCAATCATTAATTAATAACTTAATGACTGATTTACTGTCAGTTGTTTGTTTAATTAAAAACACAGTGAATGTCATAAGCTTTTGTTTATAAGTTCTTTCCACAAAATTATGTGATTATATGATCATTTGTCACTTACATATTGGCAGTATCTTAGGGCAAACTCAAATAAAAATATGATTCATGTTTTCTTAGACATAATTTTATTTTATAGAGTATCAATTGTTTTTTAACTTTCAGGAATTAAGAGCACCAAAATTAACTTGATAAATCCAGACATCCTTGTAAGAAACTGAGTAATCCCTGTGTGCCTAGACCTGGCTGACTTATTTCCAGCGTGGTCCTTCTGGTGGTGATTGGGCAGTACACCAAGAGACAAGCCCCTACTCTTTTCCGAAGAGTGTAAACTGCGTTCTTTAACATACACATGGGCCATAATGCACACAGGACAAATGGCGTAATGACTTTGTGCTATCGTAACTTGTATTTCAGCCCTCTAGCTGAAATACAAGAACAGCGATGGAATAGGGGGTCCCTGTTGGACAGGCCTGGACCCCCTATCGTCCGACGAACCAGTAGGTCGTCGGATCGAAAATTTAAAAAATTATATAATTTGCCTATCCAAATAATGTTTCTTCAAGCTATAAAAATAACCAATTAAAAAAAGAAAATCAAATATGGTCTAAATCATGGTTTACCAAAAATATATATATATAAAAAAAACCAACAGAGGAAAAAACTTGGATCATTTAAAAGAATCACATAGATAATAAAGACAGATTGAAAACAAAAATGTATTTTATAGTTTCTATAATAATAAGTTTACACCATGCTTTACACCATGGCTATACAGTACTTGAACACTGCCTCTGTCCTTTAACACATCCTTGAAGGCTTATCCACAAATCATATAGATCAGTGGCTTATCTGATGTATGGAAGCAATTAGTCTTGTCAATACATTTCAGTATAAGGGGTTCTTTATGCTACAAGTCATTCACACCATGAAGGAATAATCCTCCATGTTCACACATAATCATTTAATTACATTGGATACACCTCAAATGCTAACATACAGTGATTACAGGAAATGATTACTTAATATTATTCTATGATATAGGCAGTTACCAATAAATGAATAATTATCAATCAACTTGTATTTATTACCAAAAGGCAATCACCCAGAGAGTATTTAAGGTTATGATTGCTTATTTACTTTATTTATTTTTTATTTATTTACTGTATACTGTATAAAACAAAACATTAGTTGGCAATAATATAGCATAAAATATGTAGTTTTTTGGTTTATAATGTAACTAGTGCTTAGGCCTACCGTATCATTACTGTTGTCATTTAGACAGTTAAAAAGAGATGATGTTCTACATTCAAAAGACTATCAAAATGGCTTGTTACATAGTATTTATAATCACTGTATCAGTGATCACTTTGGATAATACTGTAATGTGCTATTATATAACGCATTTGTAATAAACTGCCATGATATTCTCACAAGTTACAATGGATTAAAAGATCCTGAGGTTTACATCCAATGACAATCTATTGATCCATAGTATCCTGACCACATATCCTACACTGCATAAAAATACAATGAAAAGTGATTCACTCTATATAAAAAAAATATATACATCAAATCATGGAGTTATAAAATAATTATAACTCCATGATCAAATCAATCATGATTGTTGGGACCAGGAAAAAGTTGTATGAAGCATGGAGTTATAATTATTTTGAGATGAAGTGTGTTTAGTTGTAGTTGCTGCACCAAACATGTTCATAAATTTTCTCAAGTACCAAGACAGTAACTACTGTAGTACAAACTGTAAATGTCAAGTGGAACAGGCATTTAAAATATTACACCCATTCAAGGAATTCCTTGATGTACTTTTAATGACAGTAAACAGTTTGCTTTCTATGCTTACAAGCACGTCTATTGTACCAGTGGCCATAGGTTGTAAAATACACTCAGCTAGTGTAAAACTCTATACCAGAAACAGTTCAAATATAAAAGAATGCGACAGCATCTTCAACAATCAACATTCTTTTTAAATGTAGGCTTTCAGTTTGTTCATAATTATGAAAAAATTGTCAGCATAAAAACAAAAACTATATGAAAAAAAAAAAAACCAAAAAAAACCAAAACTCTGAATTTAACAGAATTATACGGTATGTATTATTACGGTACCATAACATTTAATGCTGCTAATATATTGCTCTAATGCTATCGTTACAGTAGATATGCCAAAAAAGATGTCTGTTCAGAATGTCTGTGTATAAACCATCTCAATATTTCTTCAACAAAGGTATAGTACCAGTTTTTAGTAAATTCAGTCCTGAAGTGTCCCACGAGTTGGAGTATCCTGGAAATAGACAAGACCTCCTGCACTCCACCCTACAATACAGTCAACTAAAAATGTTAATATAAATCATCCTTGTCTTTTCAATGTGTTTATAGTACAACCTATGTTAACTAATTTACTTTTGGCTCAAATGTACCGTACAATAACTGTATACTATCGAGTTTTCATCATAGCAAGAAGACTTTTTTAAAATGTAGGCTAGGCTATTGTTAGTGGAACTGTTTCTAAATGATCAACGTTAGATAAAAAAGCTTTGACAGAAAACAGTACAGGGTACTGTAATTAATGTTTTGTGGAACTGTGTCTAAATGATAAAAGTTGTAGAAAAAAGTTTGACAAAAAAACATTGGTCTCTTTGAATTAGAAAATATATTTGATCTGGTTACTATTACATGATTTTAATGAAGAACCAAAAAAATAATTAAATAAATAACATTTTAAACTAACATATTTTACTACTTTTAGCCTACCTTGGCATTTCTGGAAGACTTAATAATGACACAGTTACGATTTACATCTAAAATCAGATCAGCTGGGGAATAGACATCAGTACAGAAGCCAAAATGAACAGCATCGCATGGCCTGCCTTGTGGGTCATGTCTCTGCAAGGGGCAAGATTTTTGGAAATGGTGCACAATGCGGACCGGTCGTTGGTCAATGAACAATCTCTCGTACAAATTGCGAGATGAGAATACTAGTTCATAAGGTGCAGGTTGTGGACATGTCTGCATAGTAATTGAGTATAGTCACGACAACACTCACGGAGAACACCAGGACCGAGACAAATTACTGGTAGTTAGCTATTGTACAGTAGAGAAAATTTCATATCCAAATCCTAAAGATTTAATTAATAATTTATTTACAGATGTGTCAGGACCTTTGAGCATACAGAGAAATCAGTTTTGACATTGATCTAGCTTCGATAGGTTCTAACAAAACCATGTACTGTTTCCTTTCAAGAAATCATGGACGAGGTAGATAGCATCTAACTAGGTATATTTCATTTAATCCTTAGAAAATCTGGCAACTTCTGTATGCCTTTTATACTGGTGAACAATGTGATAGATGTTATTGCCAAGCCCATCAAACCTACATCGACTGTTGTTAGCCTTTACATCAGGATTTCTGGAGCTCAGATCAACAGGTTTAACAAAGACTGCAAGACTGGTTGGTGATTCCTTGGCATCCTAGTGCATGACATGTCAATCATTTTCACACCTTTAAAGACAAAATTACTTTTGACGACAGAAAAACAGCAATAAAAGCAAATTCTTCTTATGATAACCTACAAAATAAAATATTATAGTGTTCCATAGTAGCTCAAATGGCTATAAGTTGCACAGAGAAGATAAACAATGGTAGACCTTCTCAGAGTAGAATATTATCCTCCACAGAATATATGGCTGGGTTCACTTCACCATTCTATACTGTAGTTTTTTTCTTGAAACAAATGGGCCTTCTGTGAACAGTAGTATGTTTAAATCACAGTATATTGTTTCAACCAATATGCAAATTCTCCCGCATGACACAATGGATCTGCTTTAGATCCAGCAATTAAAAAAAACTGTCATCAATTAGATTCGTATTAAGATCAGTTTCGCAACCAGTAGGCCCCATGTGCTTGCTGTTTTGTTGATCTCAATGGCCTTCGTACTAGCATCTCTACTGATCCACTATAGCTCCACTATGCCTACTGACTCACTGCTTTACAGGCCTAGCTTGCATACCATGACTATCCTTATTAGGAAACAAGCAAGGAGAGGACACAGATAGAATCTTTCCTCATCACTTAGATCTGGTTACCATTTGCAACATCATCATCTTTCATGCTCTATTTTGAATTAGGCATTAATTAGATAATTGATAAACAGTTGTCTCACCATGTGGTAGACCAATTTATCAAATAATAACAAGTGACAGACAATTATTTTTTTTCTTTATGTAATTAGTTCATTGATGTATTTTCACCTAGAGGTAATTCAATAACAACTGGAATGAAATTTCATAAAATATACTATTAAAACAAATCATTGAGGACTGCATTAATGCAATTAATTAACTGAAGATAACGACATTAGATGCAAAACCTCACAAATAAAGTATAGTACATGATAATTCTGCACTTCTTTATTAAATATAAGAAAATTCTAAAGTACTGTTCTGTATTCTGTAAAATTATAAACAGAAGACCAACTGAAAAATTGAAAATAATTTGTACAAAGAATTCCATTTATTTTAAGTGACAAGATCAATTATCAAATGCATTCTTTTCAGCCAAGAATCTACTCAAAATATTTTCAACTGTTGTTAGTCAAATAAGTTAGGAATGTATTGCTACAAACTTGGAAATGAAAAAGAGCCATTTCTGAAGAATCCAAAAATAACTTTCATTAAGTTAGCAGTGCTGGAACGAAGTACAGTACAGTATTGGATTGTTAGTTAAATGCTACTCACTTTAAGTTAATTCATTCATTTTGATATGTAGAAATGGCATTTAATGTATATCTGAAATAAAAGTTTTAATTGAATTTTATTCAAGGTTGAATTTGATTAATTTTAAATTTCTGTCTAATCTATCTTTACTATAATAAATTTAAAAAAAGTAAAGATAAATACATTTAAGTATGGCATGAATTAGACACTAAGATCAAATAGCCCTTGCACAGCATTAGAAATGGGCTGGACTAACCATTATCATAATTCCTTTTTACGGAACTCCATAAATCAGCCAGTATATATAAGATTTAAACTTCTCGATTGGCTTTTCCTTAAGTACTTGCAAAAACAATTTTTAGCATAGGCCTACTGTTTAATTGTTGTATTTTTGGTGTTTTTTAAATTTTTTTCTGCGATGTATTTTTGCATTTACATAATTTTCTTTTTGACAAAATGAAGAAATCTGAATCCGATTGTACAATAAAAGTTATTGGTAAGGCTTAAAACTATTTTTCATGTTTCAATTTGTTAATGTGCTCCATTAAGATTCAGAATAACAAAACTAAATACAGTTTTACACAAAATGATGTTTATTACTTAAATCATAATCGATATCATGGACAATAGAGTAAGTAATTAACTTAATTTTCTATCTCCACAATGCTGAGCACTGACAGTGAAAATAAACAAAATGCAATTTAGTACCATAAACCACCAGTAAAATTGGATTGTTAATATTATGAAATAATCATGGTCAAATTAGGGTCAATGTAATGTCATAAAAGTTAATGATCAATTTTTGTTTAAATAACAAAAATAATAAACAATTCTGTATACTGTAAATTTGTACAACATTCTTTATCATTACAACCCACATTTTTTTTCTTGTATTCAGTTCAAATTATTAATATTGCACTTATTTAAATGGATTTTTATGCTATATTTCTGCAGGCAAATATTTTAATTTAGATCTTAACTTTTTATTGTAAAATTAGTTAGAATTGAAATAAAAAGGCCTATTTATCATATCCATAATTAATTTTAATGACATAATGGACAGCAAATGACAGTGGTAGGTAGCATGTGGTAACCTTTTTCTCACTCAGTATAATGACTCAAAGAATGTTAATTACTCCTGCCCTCTAGGATCCCTTCTTGCCAGGTCATGTGACAATTAAGGAGAAACCACTTTAAAGGTGACATCATCATGGAAGAAATTGTAAAATTTTTTTTTACAATATTTGTAGGAAAAGATTTTTTCCCCCAACATTTCTGTATCAAAAGCTCACATAACGATAAATAAAACAGGTATACTGTACAGCAACTGAGTAACTCATAATTTTCACGAAGATAATGACCAAACCTTAAAAACTTTAAAACTTGCAATGTCACCAAGAACAAAATATATCTAATATTTATTACTTAATAATATAACAACAACCTAAAATTTATATTTAGTAACAATGACTATGATTGCGGTGGTGTCAGCAACTATAATAATATAAATGATAATAATAAAAGTAAATGTTATATATAATTTTGCAGTATGACATTAATAATCAGAAAATTATAAATAAATTAGCAAAAAATAATGTATTTAACAAATAGTAAATTTCAAATATTAATTTATAAGTAATTCAAAACTGTAATGATTCATGGTTTATTGTAGATTTATACTATTATTAATGATTAATAATAATGCTCATAAATAAAAATAGTAATTATTTGTTTATGATTTTTGGTAATCTGCCAACATCATTCATTTTATGGATTTGGTTTTCTTTTCCCTTTACTCTGTTCTATGCTCTTTATGAGAGGATAATTAAATCCCAATTAAATTATAAGAATAGGCATTAATTATAATGATAAAAAAACCAATGTAATTCTAGTTTGAATCATGTATTATTAATATTATACCAAAACCTAAGCCTACTTTAATGAATCACAATATATGTTAAAAATTCTATTTGTTTAATTTTAAGATTAACACAGAATTCATCTATGTTTTATATCAGTGATTCTGTTTCATAATCTTGGCAGATGATAGGCTTATTCATTTTAAGTGGACCACCTCTGGAATTTGTAGAGACTGAAACAACCCTTCAAGCACTGGTGATGCTGCAGAAATTCCTGCCATGCCAATTAAAGAGCAATATTTAGCCTCTTTAGGGTCAGGCTCAACAAAATGAAAAACTATCTGAGCTGCAGATGGAACATGTCTTACAAAGTATGAAACTCAATCCTCTATTTAGTAATGAACAATGTAGTAGTTGTAGCCTGGCCCTTTTACTATTGGAGTTTATAGTTTATTAATAAATTCCATCATTATAGTTATCAAAAAGCTAACTTCTGATTGGCTAGGCATTTAGGAGTAGACTGAAGGGTGATTGGACAGTTTATTTTAGAATGTTCTAATATTAAAGTTGGGGGTGTGTTATCAGGAATATGAAATTATTGAAATTTTTCTAACTTCAATATTTAAAAAATAAAGAAAAATAAAAGAAAAAATGTTTTTGATTTTCATTGTATCTAAATTATTATTCTTGTGTAACTACAGATTTTCCAAATACTATTATCAGTTCAGTTTTTATCTCCATGGTTACTATCTTTCAATGCTTAACATTTGTCAAGGCTATGAAATCAAGGTCATTATCTCCTTCCCTAAACAGCAATGGTTTGAGGCAATATTAAGAAAACAATTTTTGTTTATTGTTTTTGATAATTTCTTACTATTTGCTGAACAAAGTAATCTGCAAGCGTGCAGCCAAGCTTTTCCAGGGTGGGAGGAAGGTTCTGGGTGTGGGGTACAGGTTCCCACCTAAGGGCCCAAGTGAGACTGAACTCTTATAAAAAATAATAAAAACATAAATTTATAAAAATAAAAAAAATACAGTGGTTATTATTGTTAAGGCGATATATGATTACCTCAGCAATAAGCACTGTATATTTTATTTTATAAGTTCAAGTTCTTATTTATTTCTTTACTACATTTTTTTTTTTATCTTAAGCCTACTTCTTGTATTTTATTTATAAATTTATAAAAAAAAAAGTTGTGCATTATATTCAGGCTCAGGAAAACATTTTTTTGATATGTTGTACAATTGATTTTTGACACAGGAACACTTTAATGTGATACAGATTTTAAATATTTAACAACTTGGAGAAAAGGGGTGTAAACCACCCTTTTTTCCACCTATTTCCCACAAATTTTATATATTCACAAAACTGTATCTCATTAACCGTTCACAAGTTTTTCATCAAATATTTTTTTCATCAAATATGTTTTTCATGTCTTATAAAAATGCCAACTTAACATTTTTTTCCCCCCTGAGACTGACTTTAATGTTTCTCTTATGAAAGAGACTACCGTAGTTCCTCGGGTATAGGCCCACTCGGGTATAATCCCACCCACAAATTTACGCCCAACTCCGCGTACAGGCATTTCCCCGGGAAAAGTACCAGGGTATAATTTAGGTTAGTAGGCCTAGGTCTAGTTCGGCAAATTTAACAAATGCTCACAAAATATGAAGGATTTGGCTCCAAATTCGGCAGACCTGTAACTCTTCCAATTGATAAGACATTGGTCTCTGTAAAGTTAATACAAAGCCCATTCTTGTAAATTTTTGTTGTTTACTGTCGCTAAAATAAACAAGCTCGCTCACTGTGGCTAAAAGTAGGCAACATCGTGGTCCGTCCCAAAAGAGACACACCCAATAGGCTAATCGGATCGTTAATTCACAGGGTGAAGACTTGCATGTTTCACAGAGACTCTTGCTGCTAAAAATAACTTGTTACATCATACAAGTGGGCATTCTTCACATGCGATGGGTGATTAGTTGGATTGGTTGTTGGTGGGCAAAAAATAACTTACGACGTAAAAGAAGTTTAGGCAAAGGCTAGCCTAGCTTGAGGTAAGACCAATATGTGGCCTCTCTAGCTACTAATTAGGGTTTTCCTTTCCTTTAATGCTAGTAAACTCTTATCTCTTCACCGTAATATAGTTTTCGATAGGCCATTCAATCGTAGGGCTTCTGCCACCTCGCAAAACGATCGTCATTTTCGTTCTGTTCATGCACATGGGAATCCCCGGTTATAATCCCACCCCCCAAAAATCGGGTCAATTTTGCAATCATGGGGAGTGGGATTATACCCGGGGAACTACGGTATTAGTATTAATATGGTAAACATTTTAAATGAAAAAATATAATGGGCTAAATAAATTTTTTTTTAAATAGCTAGTGAAAGAAATTAAAAAAATAATGTAATCACAAAAATTTAACATTAAACAGAGCCTGAGTTCATAATGTTATCAATTCAAACATATAGAACAATATTAATAGACATTTAAGCTTACCTTAGCTGTTAAAGACTTTGACAGGGATGTGGAAAGTTTAGTGCTGCTACGTCTCCTAGGACTTCGAGGGCTGGGAGTACTTGTTGGCAAAGGGGAACAGGGAGGTGTAGTAGGAGAGGAAACCCTCAACAAAGGTGATGCTGGACTGCCATGGCTCTTATACTGGAATGTAGCTGACGGAGTGTATTCAAAATGTTCTCCCTTCTTGATCAGAGCTAAATTTTCACGTAAGCTTTCCTGTGTGTCCGTTTCACTCAACCACCTGAGGAAAAGTTCATCTATTTTGAGACGTAAAAGAGGTTGTAGTTTTCCCATGATCCTTTGTTTATCTCTGGTTCATGGCTGAACAAATACAATGAAGTGAATTCAAAGGCCAGTGTTCAGTACTAATAACATCTAAAAAAAAAGAAGAGGTAAAGTTTGGTGGTCAATGTCTAAATTGTCAAAAATGGGTGCTGTGGATACAAAAGTACAGAGGTGCAACATATAAGCCTGCAACTATAAGCCTACAACATATAAGACTACATATGGTCTGGATGTTCCCCAGAGTCACTGCCATACTGTGATAACGTTTTTTTAATTTCGCGGATGATACCACAAAATATAGTAAGGGATGTAATTTACAAAAAAAAGGTTACACGCACGTGAAGGTCCTGGCAATGTGTGGCATCATTTTAACGTACATCCCCGGCTAAGTCCCCACCACCTACCGTTGGGAAATGTTTGTGTGCATTATGTATTTCAAAAAACATTTATCATAATGATCAAGCTAGCCTAGTGTAGAAGCCTAAGCCTACTCTAGGCCCTAGGTGGCCTTTGCTTGTTGGCCCTCTATGTTTTGCCTTGGTAGCTTCTAGGCCCTGCCTCCATAGTAGCCTAGGCTCGTGTGTCCAATTAGATAGTAGTAGCCGAGGACTGTCCTAGCCCTCCTCCTAGGACTCTCTGTAGATCCTAGGCCAGTATGCTTGCCTAACTAACTAGCCTACAGTAATCCTCACCTAGCAGGCCTAGGACCTCCCAACCCTACTTTCTATTTTGTATTGTAGCGCCTAGCCTAAGCCCTAGAGAAAGAATGAACAAGACAAATGTTTCTTTCTTATTAACAAGTCCAGGATTGTATATGTACTTTGAAGTTTAACCTAGTAGGCCAGGCTAATACCTGGGTCAAAATATTTGCAGACAACATCGATATTTGGTACCTGGAATTTGTAATTGGCAACCGGAAGCACAGGTGTAAAGTTCAAGAGTAATAAATAAAGTAAAATATTTAAAAATAAGAAGGACTCTTTTAAATTGCATTTATAATGATATAATCTAACTATTTCATAAATAACTAATTATTTGTTTTATAAAATTTAAATATTTAGGGCATACTTTTTTAATAAACTAATATAATTTAATTAGGAATAAAAAAAATATCGAATGAGGAAAAAAATTCTTCACATTCAAAATGGCTTCCTCAATATGCCGATTCGGAAGGAGGTTGATTGCCGCAAAGCAAGGATTTCAACCATATGTAAGAGTAAGTTTGTACTCATTAGATATCTGCATGATATATTGATATTTATAAATTAGATTTAGCTATTTTTTATGCAAATCTAAGGTTTCCATTTTAGCTAATCAAATCTTGGCTAGGCTCGGCCTAGCTGCACTGCACAGAGTGAGTGAGTGGTTGGCTTGCTAGGGAGGGGTACTAGGCCTAGGGTAGGTGCCTAATAGTTAGTTCTAAGCCCCCCTGACCCCACCTCTATGGAATGCCTATAGTAATAATAATAATAATAATAATAATAATATGTCGTTGTTATATAGCGCTTAATGCCTTAACAAAGCCTCTAAGCGCTTCACATTATTA